TATATCAATTCATGTGAATATGACTAAAACATTTCATTTTTTCTGAAAAGGTGGTGTCTATTTACTTGTGACCACGCTGTGTACATCAAAGTCTGATAAAACTGTAATATGTTTATTTATGATACATCCTATATTATTTTAACATGTTCATACACCTTTTTACCAAAAGGTTTTAATTAATAACACTTTACAAATGAAGATAAAGTTGTTAGCTGCTTTATCTGTAAGATTAATGATATATCTACTACGTAAATAATCTAAATGTTTAATAACTTCTTTTTTATCGATAACATGTTCATTCTTGTTAATAACAAATTTCTTTAAGTATGTTATGCATTCATTGGTTATATCTTTAACATTATTTACCCAGTTTCTAAACAGAATTACTCTTACACTCTCTATTTATGTAAAACTTTGCTGATTGATGCAGTAATTGCTTGTTTGGAATTAATTTTTAGAAATTCCTAGAATTTAGGACCTTTACTCATTAATAGTTGTAGATCTTCATTAGTAAATGAAATAATGAGAGAGAGAGAGAGAGAAAGACACACACACACACATGTATATAACAACTGTTTTCTTTTATAAAATAGGCTACTTGATTTAACAAGATACTATTTTACATGACTTTTCAAATTACATGGTCTTCATGGTTTTTGAGGACCTGTGGGAATCCTGGAGACTGTCATTAAGAATCAAGCAAGTAGTGATATTACAGAAAAAGTAAGTTTTATTGTGTAATAAATTCTTTACACACACCTTCACATTTGACACCTTGAGCAATAATCCCCCACATGAAGTTGCCACAAAGGTCACACCAAGGTAGCCCTTTGAAATTATGGGTCTAAATATAAAAGGTATGAAGAAAATTAAAATATGTTTCTTTAAACTAAGAATTTAGCAATAAATTCATGACTGAGCACTAACAGTTCAGAGCAAAAGTAACTCTCCAATAAACAAATAAAGCACATGATTATCTAAACAGTAAAAAAAACATATCAATCTAAAGTGAGAGCATGACAAAAATAAACTTCACAAGGTACTGATGCATATATCAGTACCAGATAAACTTGACTGTATTACAATATGTGTATCAATTTCTAAAAAAAAAATTAAAAATGCTCAACCACTCTAAAATCAAAATTCTAATGAAATTACCTTGATACATTGTATCAGTTAGTAATTCACATATAATACAAGACAAAGAGATCAATGTATTGGGAGAGAAATGTAAATATTAACATACTCAAACAGTTTGTATTAACATAGATTCATTGGTTACCCTGAAGTTGTGAGTCTTTTCAAAGCGATGGACATCAATGTCACCCTCTACTGAATCTTCCTGAGAGAATATCCCACTCTGAAAAAAGAAAGAAAACATGAACTGTACATAACTATCTTATGTCAACTTTATTGTAAACTGTAGACATAAAAAAACTACTATTACCACTTTACTCTAGTCTTCCTTTATATAAGAAGGTTGATGAATGGATTATGTTTATAAAACTCAAGTATATTTCATTAGAGCTGTCTCTTTTATGTTCTTACTAGTTTTAAATACTGTATCTTCAATATTTAGCTTAGAGCTAATGTTAATTTAACTCATAATATAATTATATGTAGATCTATGTTTTTTTACTTATAGGTTTTCTTTTATAAAACAACTATTTATTTGGAAAAGAAAAAGCAACAAATCACATGTATGTCTATAAATATACAAACTTTCCATGTACTTACATCATCAGCAGGCCTGTCATACTCATGAGTAGATCGTGTACTGTTGCTTTCTTGGCTAGAAATACTTGATCGTTTCTTAATCCTCATTTTACGCATTTTTTGTTGATAAGAGTTCAATGTCATATAGGGACTTTCTTCATATTTGATTTGAACACACATCATAGATATATACTCTGCAGCATTGTATTCAAGGTAAAGCGTGATGAGTCCATCAGCAACCAAATCCTGTACTGTATCAAATCTTTTCTCCCCCACATAATGTTTTCCATCATAGTAGAGACGAAAATTCTTAGTAGCTGCCAGAAACCTGAGCATACATACGAAATAAAACCACCAAATAGCAAAATATAATGTACATCTTTGCTTTTATGCCTTTAAATACGTAATATGTCAATAGCCTAAAAACTGAATGCTAATATTATCAATGAGAACTTGGATTTCAGCAAACTCAAAATAAAGGTATTTACCCTTCAACAGTGGGTTAGTTGTTCATACTTAGTTATTGTTTTTTAAAATACTTGTATCATTTAAAATCTTTTTTTAAACAATTACTTTTAAAAAGTTTCTTGTTTTTAGATATCTTTCGCAAATAATAAAAAACTGTTTACCCAAAATCTTCACTATTAAGTATTACCTGGCCAAACTATAGCCCATTTATTTTTATCTGCTTCATTTCCAATAAGTTTTCAACAACAAGAAAAGACCCACAAATGCACCAAAAAAGAACCTTTCAAATATCAAAACCTGAAAATTTCAGAATAAAATATAAAAGGCTCCTTACCACCATTACACTTCCTTTTTTTTTCTAACACAATGCAAACAAGCATTCCAATTTTTTAAATGATAAAAAACAAGTGTTATTGCATAGAGAAGAAAATCTATTATTAAATAGTTAAATTTAATAAGTTCTTTAATGAATTTGAAGTAATTATATAGGCAGTTTAAAAGCTTATTGTGATGATACAAATAGCTTTTAATTTTGATAAATAAACATTCTAAATAATATGTAACCAAGTATGTGAATAATGATATAAGCTTGAAGATTTCAATTAATCTTTTTTTATGTTTGCTTGTGGCTTACAGAACTCCAGAATGGCTAATATATTGACATGTGATAGTACATCATTCAATTCTACTTAATGCAAGATATGACAATAAATGATGAAAAATTATATGTTTATCTAACTATCCTTATGCCTAGATATAATTACATTTGTTTAAGGCAAACAAAAACAGCAGAAAAAGTGCATTAAAAGTTATTGAAAGTGATATAACATCAACACAAGTTAATGCTAAGTATATATATAAGTATGTGTAGCAGCTGAATAAACTTACTTTCTTTTCCACTTCCTAGTGTTATGTTTTTCTCTGTCATTGTCTTAGTGTTTTTCTGAGATTAGTGTGTGCCTTTTTTTAAGCCTTAAAATAACAAAATTATACATTTTACATGAAAATTATTAAATAATTAATGTTTTTTTAAAGATGTTATGCTTTTGTTTTTTGGTTTGTAATAAAATTTTAAGCTGATTAACATAAACTCAGTTTATATGCAATAACATTCAAGAGGCCTCAATCATATGTAGGCACGCCTCAAAATTAGTGATGGCATATGGAAAGCCATGGGATTTTTTACATAGACATCAAGTATGAGGGCAGGAAAAAAAGCTGTTATAAGAAAAGCAGTAACTTTTTCTCTTTAAATTCTTAATTTTTTCTGTGAATAACTTCAAAGATTAAGAATTCACAGAAAAATAAAATTGCTGATAAAAAACTAAAATATCTCATAATACAAAGAACTCACTGTGCCTAATTTAAGATGTCTATTGCAACTGAATTTAGGGGATTGTTGTAAGGGACAATCCTGTAAGAAAGGCATCTTACAATGACTGAAGAAATGCCAAGAAAAAGTAAAGGTAAGTAGCATCACAAATCTAGTTTCCATTTCTAATGTGTATTTTAATTTTTCACGTAGACTGCTGAAAATATTGATAACTCCATGTTTTGGAGCTTTTACTCTCTATTAGTTTAATTGATAAAACATTTGTTTCAATTAAAATGTGATTCAAAACCAGGACTAACACATACTCTGTTAAACCATGTGTAGTTTTGTTTTGGATTATTGCATGTTTTAGTATTAGAGGGAACAATGACGTTTATTGCTTTAAATTTGCAGTAGTATGACATATGTTAGATACTTCTTGGCATAGAGAAAGCAGAAAATATATGTTTAATTTTACATTAACTGAAGAATAAAGAAAATTATTTTTTACTACAAGGTTGTTAGTAGTAGTTCACTGTATTTTGTTAGCATTTAATAATAAGATATTTTTTGACAAGAATTGTTTGTTCTTAATTTTCTGTTAAAGTTGAATATGGAAGGGCGGAACATGATAAAGCTTATGCCTCAGGTTTAACTTGGAAAGCTACCTATAATTTTAGTTTCATCAAAAATATTCAATCACTATAAAACACAATATAAGTGTTTCATTTCTTATCTTGGTGAGAATGCTTACACTGTAACCTGCTCATGTATTAAGTGTTTCTTTAAGTGACGAAATCTCTTCATAACGGACCAAAGTATTCGCTGTGGTGTTGTCTCGATTAATGCACTTACAGTAGCATTTTCTGGTCGCATAGTATGTCTTAATTTTGAGGACTGTATAAGCCATTTAAATAAATTTCAAACAAAGGAAATCTATATATGCAATAATGATTAAACACCTTACCTCATGCTAAAGGTATACTACCCAGTCTACACATGTAATAAGGATCAAACATCTTACCTCATGCTAAAGGTATACTGTCCAGTGTACACATGTAATAAGGATCAAACATCTTACCTCATGCTAAGGGTATACTGTCCAGAGCTCTGAGACTTTCACGCACTAAGTAACAACCATCACACTCTTGAAGCAGCCAGTCTGTTTCAGATCTAGAGATCATCCCATGAAACCTAAAACATCATTCTTCTATCAGTATATAAACAACCTTCTTTAGCAGATTTAGTTTTTCAAGCTCACTATCCTTTGTAATAAAATCAATAAAACAGTCAAGATATTAGAAAAATAAGGGTTTAAATAGAAATCATGTAGAATCTAAAAAAAATGTATACCATGAATGCGCAGATAACCAAAAATTGCATACATGTGTAATTCCAATTAGTGATGACAACCAAGAAAATAAAAACTATATACACAGACTGCCCACTAACTTCGATTCTGAGAATCCATTTTCACTTATGGGTAAATCTCTGACTGGCTTTGTCAATAGCGAGCTGACTGTCTGTATAAACAGTTGTCAGATAAGTGAGAAAAATTCACAGAATAATCAAAGAGCTTCAAATGAGAGTAGCTGTATTGTTGTAAACTCTTATCATGTCCAGCCAAGACATACATGTCAAAACACAACTGTACACAGTTTGTAGTGTTTGCCAATTTTTGCATAAGAGCAGAAATTTTGCATTATCATGAACTTTTCCATCACAAGAGATATTCATACAAGTTATAAACTGTAAAAACAAAAACTGAGAGATATTATGAAGAAAATTAGTGATTTATAAGAAAAATACACCTTGAATTTTGCATTATCATGAACTTTTCCATCACAAGAGATATTCATACAAGTTATAAACTGTAAAAACAAAAACTGAGAGATATTATGAAGAAAATTAGTGATTTATAAGAAAAATACACCTTGAATCAAATATTCATGCAATGCTATGAATGTTTGTTTTATATATTACATTGGTTCATAGGTAATTGTCCTAATGGTTAGGGTGCTTGACTCGCAATCTGCAGGCCATAGGATTGAAACCTGTCACCTGCTTGCTCTTTGAGCTGTTAGATCATTCTAATGTGAGGTTCAATACCACTATTTGTTAGTGAAGAGTAACCCTAGAGAGGAAAGTGGTTGGTATTGACTAGCTGACTTCTCTCTAGTATATCTCTTCAAAATTAGGAAGGGCAAGTACAGAACTCTTGGCTAGCTTTGTGCAGAATTCAACAAAAATTAACAAAATCATAGGTAATTAATTAATTTAGTTAATCACCGAGCTCTAATTTTATGCACATGTTTTGTTTTTACAAAAGTGATTAATTATTGTCACATAAAATATCTGATTAATCAAAATCATGATTAAATCTATCAATGTAATAAAAATGACCAAAATTAAAGTTTCCAGTTATTACTGTTTTCTATTATTACAACTATCCAAGTAATCAAAATATCACCATTATGGTTTCTCATTATTATTTTCAGTTAAGAATGCTCAGCTTAATCAACTAATTCACAACTCTGAAAATAATTAACTAATCAAAATTATTGCTTCTGATTCTTACTATTTGCAGTTATTCCAACCATCCAAGTCTGGTGAGAGAATAATTGATTAATGCAGTCAGTAATTAATCAATTAGCAAATTTCATTAATCACTCAGTTTTAATGCATATATATTCTTATTTTCAAGCCAATGTTTAATATACAAATGTTATAGTAGGAATAAGTTGATGAAAATTCGTCAAAAAAAATGTTGATTTATAAAAACTGAAGCAAGAACTTACTCTCTTCCATAATGAGGGGGCCGATTTGGAACCTGACACCAAGTAAATAAACAGAGAATTACATATCAAATAGCCTAGGGGAACATTTAGGTCAACATAAAATATCTTACATACATTAGAATTCAGTGGCTTACCTTCTGTTTTTCTAAAATGAAATACAAAGGCTTAAAAATTATCACAGTCTTGAGCAGTAACTAACTTAACATGTTACAGCAATTTTTAAATTTAGTTTTTATAAATATAAATTGACAATGTAACATATTTGAGTATATCTATAATCTCTATCAGTTAATGACAAAACAAAGTTTGGAATCCATAAGAAGCGACTTAGTAACTATGCAAGTTTTAGCTCAAATGTCTAGGATTGTTTTTAAATTTTCATGTACAAATCAGATGTTTCAAAACACAAAACAAGGGGAAACACATCATCTTATCCATTGTTGCACATTTACATCAATTATATATATATAATTATTTGTACTGCCTATGACGTGCACAAAATGTTTAAATTTTATGAACTAGAAAAGAAGCTGTCTTTACATTCTAATACAGGTACAGTACAAGTTATATATGGAACATTTTACACAATTCTATTACACATAAAATATTACAGTGTTATCAATAATGCATTTCTAAAGAATGCAATTACGCAGAAACAACAACCAAATGTTTACTATCATGAGAGGAACTAGTTTTTAGTTGGCATTAGAATACTACTACAGATTATAGATTACTATAGATTAAAAAGAAAATATATTAAGACATATCTGACATATTGAATTTAACTCATGTAACTGATTTAAACATTGTTTTTTTTACTGTTACATGTGTAAATACACAATACAAAAGTTGAAATAAACATGCATAACACATTCAGCTGTTGTGAACCAAGAATAAATTCAGAACACTAACAGTTTTCTGACAGTTAATATTAAAATAATATTACAGAAAATACAGTAGTGGAAAAATATTCTTCATTGTCACTATTTAGAAGAATGCTTACCTCACGTGAGCATACAATACGCTTTGGAGTTGGAGCTTGCTGCTGAAGCTGGTACACTGTAAACAGACTACAGATTTTTACTTGAACTAATGAATATGCCTTCTTGTATACCAATTTGATCCAGATTTTGAAAAATTAGCCAAATTTGTGAAAATTCAAAACAACTTGTGAGATGTCACAATGGATTTTCAATAGATCTAGGATCCCTAATCAACTAAGCTATATATTTTCAAGTCTGAGGAAGTACACTATGTGTATACATTTTAGAAACCTTAAATAAATAGGGAAAAAATAACTGAATATTTGCCATCATATATCTAAATTTAAATTTTTAAATGCCATGCCACAACTTATTCATACAAAAATTTATATGTAACATACACCAAAACAGGTCTATGAGAAGAGCTTAAAATTAAAAAATGTTTTGCTCCAGTCAATTTGTTGGTGAAAAAAATTAATTAAAAGAGTAGTTCTCAAACAATATTGAAGCAAGAAAACATGCTATTACTGTAATGCAGAAATATCTAACTTCCAATAACACAGAAAAAATCTTAACATGATCCTACGAGCTTCATAATAAAATTGAGTTATTTCATGTACATAGTTGTAATGTCAAAATTCCCTATAAAGGCAAAGACACTTTCAATAAACTGGAAAAATGGTTCTATGGAAAAGTTAAATGCAGACACCTTATTCACTGATATTCATTAGATGTAATACTGCATAAATTTTCAGCAGTTCAGAAAATAAGGTATCTTTAGTAAATCTGGAAGTTACTGTTAAAAGTACTTTATCTAGAACTTTGATCTTTTAGATACAACAAACTTGTAATGTTTACTAAAAGCTTTCTAAATTTTGTGAAGACATTTAATTAATTCAGAGTTATAGTAAAAATTAATATGTACAGTATCACAGATATCTCAGGGTTGATCAATTTAACCAAGTCTATGAACAGATAACTTACAGCATTTTCATGGTGACATACAAATATCTGAAGATCAAATTTAATGCATGTTAATTAGTATTATCACAAAAAAAATTAAATTTTACTCCAAACTTCACTAGCTCACATCTCCACAAAGTGAATTAAATAAATTTATAGAAAGAGCAATATATATATATATATATATATATCTTCTTGAGAAGAATT